GATTAATCATACAGTGATTAGCGATTGCGGCTTCACCTCTGCAGACAGCTGCGCAACGATTTTGAATAGTCCCACCTTCTGTACATAGCTTAGCGCGAGCAGTCAGCTGCAGAGCAATCAACATGATTGGCCAATCTTCAGTCTCATGATGATGAAACTTTTAGAATGCTGCTTGCAGGGGTGAAGCCGCAATCGCTAATCACAGTACGCACTAGGCAGACTACAATCATTTAATCTCAAANTACCTAACTAAGTAGTGTTCGTCTCGCGACAAGGTAACTTACGGATGGACGTTAGTAAGATAAGCACATATCACGTCTTGTATTCAGTCCATTACAAAATCTCACATTAATTACATACATCTGCGATGGCAAACTGCTTTAAGTCAGGTGAGCAAAAATTGCCGAACCCAGAAACATTGAGAACCAACACTGCAGAGCATTGCTGACAGGCATTGACATATCTCACTCGTCAGACATTGCGCCGAAGCCACGTGATTGATCACGCAATCGTCCAAGTACCTGTATCAAGCTGCTCTCTAACTAATGAATTATTCAAGTCGATATTTTTGGGGTTGCAGCTGCACGAAATTAGATGACAATGAGACAATGGTTACGTGCTCACCTCTGTAAACCGCACTCTAAAAGCCCAGTCACCACAAAATTGGAGATTGACCAAGTATACTCTTGTGGTTCTAGAGCTAAATAGCTGGACTTTTGCGCTAAGCTAATGATAGAGGGTGGGGCTGCTCGNGATGCCGCAATCCCAGACGAGANTNGTTATTCGTATACTATCGCAGAGTTCAGCAGCTGAGAGAAATCCGACTCTTTCTCAGACATAGGTGTTCACATATGCATGCTTCGTGCCCAATCCATTTTTCTCACACAAAAAGTGGCTATTGGCATTCCAATATCGTCCGTGTCCCTGATGTACAAGGTTGTGGGTGCTGTGAGACTGGAAACGTGCCTCTGCCAACACTAGTGTTGATGGCAGCAATCTCGACACCGTTACGCAGCACTCGTACAACCACATCTTTCGTATAGCACAATTCAAATCCTACCCCTCGTTTGATCTTTTCACTCTGGCTTTTCCACTCGACTACTGCGCCTTGCAGACTCAGAAGCACCTCGTCACCGATGGTGATATCATTCATGGCTAGGGACAGGGCGCTGGCATTGGTAAAGCGCACCTTTACCTGTCCATTTACACGGCGTAGTCTCAGGCTGGGCTCTGCAATTACAACGGCCATCTCATTGCGTGAAGCGGAGTATGGCCATTTTATCATGACAATTGCTCTGATTTGTCCGGATGGAATGTCCGGAGAGCAGAGATGTCAACAATCAAGCTGAGTCAAGCTCATCAATCAAGCCAGATTGACTCAACGGTCAAGCTGAGTCAAGCCAAGCTCATCAAGCTTTATCAAGCTCTATCAAGCTCGTCAAGCTCATCAAGCTGAGCTTGATAGAGCTTGATGAGCTTGATACGCCCGTGCGTAGAAAAAGAAGAAGAATTATTAACCTCTTGACGTAGGCTACTAATCTATAGAATCGTTAACGCTTGTCTCCATCTCTAATACAATACGTGTTAATCTATTACATACGTTTTCTTGTTTTACCAATCTCTTAATTGCAAGCATGCCACCAAAAAGACGCGTCCAAGCTGTTGTTGCTACCCCACCAAAGCGGTCTCGGGGCATACTACTCTACCCCGCGGTACTCTAAGCCAGCCTATATCTATCGAAAGCCCGCCATCATCTTCTCGTTTGTCACCTCGTCAAGCTCTAGTTGAAGCGTCCCAGGTATCGAACTTCGAAGCGCGGCTGCGCGAAACGCAGGCTCAAGAAGCTATTGTCCCACCTGCTGACGGCAGCGAGGAGGCAACGATAGCTTCTAACGAGCCTGCTGGCATAGGCTTCGACGAACACCTAGTAGACGCCTTCGAAGGCCTTGACTGGGGCCACTTTCCTCAGTACATGAGGCCTTTGGCGTCGCAGCGCGGGAAGAAAAGCTGGATATACCTTTATGGCTACCGCGTCGCGTCGCGGATTAATCCTAGACGCCACTACTTTATATGCCGCTTTTGCTATAAGCAAAAGTTTATTGACGCTGGTATCTGTTGTATATATGAAACAATAAGATCAACGTCAGCAGCCCAGCGACATCTTGAGGAGGATAAGCCTGGCCATGGCTATAAGACACCCGAGAAAGTTGATGCTGAAGTACTCAACACTATCCAGGCTGTGCTTACTGGCAATCGAGTTAGCCAAGCAGTCGCGAATGAGCTCTCTGGCTTCAATATCCAGCGCTTTAGGCTTGCAGCAGTTGCCTGGATTGTTGAGACTAACCAGCCACTTTCCACTTTCGAGTCGCCAGCTTTTCGAGACCTTATCGCGTCAGCTAATCCACAAGCGGAGGAAGCTCTATGGGCTTCCCATAATAGCGTCTCTAGTTACATTTTGCGCCTATACAACTACCTTAAGCCGCGGGTTATTCAAGCGCTATCACGGGCACAGAGCAAGATACATATCAGCTTTGACGGCTGGACAACAAAGGGCGGTAAGCGCGGCTTTTTAGGTATTGTCGCTCACTTTGTTGATAGTCAAGGCAACATTGTAGACCTGCCTATCGCGCTGCCGCAGTTAACAGGCGCTCATACTGGTGAGAGGATAGCGGAGATTGTCATAGAAACGCTAAGACAGTTTAACGTCGACTTAGACTGTATTGGCTACTTTGTACTCGATAACGCGAGAAACAATGACGCTGCGGTAGACGCAATCGCGCGGACGGTGGGCTTTGACGCCTCTCATCGCCGCCTCCGCTGTGGCCCCCATACGATTAATCTTGTTGGCCAAACGTTGCTCTGGGGGAGGAACTGTAACTCGTGTAATAATAGCGCGAGCGAATTTACTACTGAAGACGAGTATATGGGCGAGTGGAGGCGTGAAGGGCCTTTAGGCGTTCTTATGGCAATTGTCAACCATATCAAAACACCAAGACAGTACGAGCTATTTGAAAGCTTTCAGCATCGAGCCCACGATGAGCTGCCAGCTGACGCGCCTGCCGATAGTCGCAAGATTCTCGAGCCTGTCAAGCCTGTTGTCACCCGCTGGAACTCCTATTATGCCTGCTTTGAGCGCGCTGTACAACTACAAGCAGCTATCAACGCATACGCCAATCACCATATAAACGAAACACGCAAGGCGGACTCATGGGCAAGCTCGCGCGGTAACCGACTGCCTATCGTGCCGCGGTGGATGCGATCAGACGGCCTAACAACACATGACTGGGCGGTAGTTACTGAGTACATAGACGTGCTACGGCCTCTGAAATCCGCGACAAAACGCCTCGAAGGGCGCGGCAAGTCTGGCAGATTTGGTGCTATCGCTGAGGTGATACCGGTATTTGAGTATATACTCAACTACTACGAGCAGCGAGTCCAAGCCTACGACGCTGTCGACTATAACGCTCACGACGAGGCGCCCGAGGACCATCTCGCGATCAACACGCGCGCAGCGTGGGCAAAAGCAAATGATTACTATGATAAGCTAGACCTATCGCCCGCTTACTATGCTGCTACAATACTCCATCCTTGCTATAAAACGTACTGCGACCTGTCGTGGAGCGCTGACAAACCTGACTGGCTTACTATTAACAATCGCGGCTTTCGCGCCTTATGGGCTACCTATAATACTACTCTAGATACTACTCTAGCGACAGTACAGCGCCCGAAATCATTCTCGACTGACATGGACGATGCGATTGACGCCCTCCTTAATACCGCGACTGCTAGCAACGACGCGGCAGTAGACGACGAGTTCGACCGATGGAAACAGTGCGAGCCGCGTGTAGAGAGAGGCGCTGAATACGCCAACAACCCTACAAGATACTGGCTACTCATGCGAGATCGTTACCCACGTCTTAGTAGGCTTGCGCTAGATGTGCTCTCGATACCAGCGTCAAGCTGCGAGTGTGAGCGCATGTTCAGTGAGCTTGGGGATCTGCTAGAGCCTCGTCGACGAGGTATACAACCGCAGCTTTTGGCGGCGATACAGTGCGTACGACGGTGGCGCAAAGCTGGTCTAGGCAACGATGATATTAGCTCAAAAGTCACTATAACTGATGACAGTATAAAGGCGTTATATGAGCTAAGCAAGTGGGATAGCGATATCAATAGTGATAGCGAAACTCAACACCAAGAATAGTCGCTATATAGCTAATATCACCTACTTGAATGACTTTGAAAAAGACGCTATGACCATCAAGCTCATCAAGCTCATCAATCAAGCTGGCTTGATACACCAAGCCAAGCTGAGTCAAGCCAAGCCAAGCTGACAGTTTTGCTTTTGCCTATCAAGCTGAGGCAAGCCAAGCTCCAGCTTGGCTTGGCTTGATTGTTGACATCTCT